CCATGCACCACATCGGATCTGAACGTGCATACTTGGATGCCCTCAAATTACCTCATATAGATCATCTCATCTTCCTCCTCCAGCATTACCCTGTTCATCACTGGGCTCACCATCTTCCTGGCTGCCCGCCCAGACACTTGCGTTTACATTTGCCTGTTCCTTCTTCCTCAGACCTTAGTTCTCAGTTTCTCATCTTTAGGACAAAATACCTGACAGCCACCACTTAAAGGCAGAATGGTTTATTTGGCTCATACTTTCAGTCCATGGTTGGCTGGCTGCCAGACAGAAATGACATAGTGAAAGAGTGTGGCAGAGGGTGGCTGCTCGTTGCATGGTAGCCAGGTAGCACAGAGGAGCCGGGACAGAGGTACACCCTTCCAGGTCACATACAGGGCCTACCTCCAACTGGACCCCACCTCCCAACTGCATATAGCTACTGAACTCATTAGCAGATTAATCTACTTAAGAGTATAGCCCCTGCAGAGATCCCAGTCACACAAGACTTTTGCCAGACATTTTAGATCTAAACTGAAATTTGCTCTTTACCCAATTACTGATCGGATCTTCACTGCCACTAACCTAGCTCTAGCCACCTTCATATCTCTCCTAGACTGCTGCAGCGCTGGCACCAGTGAGCCTCAGCCTCATTCTCTGCTTCCCCCCCCCCTTCATTCCATTCTGTTGACAGTGTAGTCAAGTCATACCCCCCCAAAATAAAATAAAACTAACAATGCAATTCTGGGGCCAGGGATTTAGCTCAGTAGTGCAGTGCCTGCCTGGCATGCGTGAGGTTTGATTCCCAGTACAATAAATAAATAAATAAATAATAAATAAATAAATAAATAAATAAATGCAAATCTGATCATAGCCTTCTTCCCATAAAGCTTTTAACCCTAAACTTTTTGGTTTTTCTTCTGTCTCCTCTCTCTCTCTCTCTCTCTCTCTCTCTCTCTCTCTCTCTCTCTCTCTCTCTCTCTCTCTCTCTCTGTTGTACAAGCACTTGAACCATATACTTTTTGTTTGTTTGTTTTTTGGTACCAGGGATCGAACCCACGACCTTTCTTTTGCCAGACTGGTGCTTACATCACTGAGCTAAATCCCCAGTCCAAGCCATATCCTTTAAAAGGGTGAAATTTGTAGTATGTAAACTATAAAGTAAGTCCCTGACTTACTAACAAGTTCTGTTTCAGGAGAATGGTAAGTTGGATTCATTCATAACTCCAACGAAGTGAGTCTTACATACTGTGCCTTTGACACAATGTACAGTGTATACTGCTTTGCCCTTCGTAGTCCCCTCCCATCACTACTGCTTTTCCTCTTGTTTCTGGACATCCTGGGCTTTGATTGAGCACTGCACTACTGTATACCTTTGCATTGTACAGTAAGCATACAGCAGCATAATTGTGAAAATATCCAGCAGGCACCTCAGCTACTTGCACAATTCGTTTGCATTTACAATTGTTCATAAATGCCAGGTCTATTTGTATTTGTTAAAGTTTGCAACTCGAATGTTTGTAAGTCAGTTACTTACTGTATCTTTTTTTTTTTTTTTTTTTATCTTTTTGTGATGGTATCTTACTATGCAGTTCAGGCTGGCCTTGGGCTCGCTTTGTAGCCCAGGCTGGTCTTGAATTTGAAACAGTCCGCCTACCTCAGCCTCCTAAGTGCTGGGATAACAGGAGTGCGCCACCATGCCCGGCTCTGTATTTTGTTTTTAAGCCAAGAAATTTATCTACTTTACAAAGCCTCCCAAAACCTAGCCCAGCCTCTACATCTCCCACTGTTTCTGTCTTCTGTCCTCTTCCTCTCAGCAACATGCTCCACTTCCTTCTGCTTTTGAGCTCCCCACACTCTCACCTCTAATATTTGCTGATACTATTTATTTTTTTGCAGGAAGCATTTTGTCCTCGACTGTCCCTTTACCCTCCCCCTCCTCTTCAATAAGCTAACTCCTTACCCTTCAGGCTCAGTCTTCCCTGGCCTCCCTAGAGGGCATTAACTGTTCCTACTCTCTTCCTGACACATTTTATACGCATCTCTTTTGTAGCATTTATTACATTTGCCCATTCTATGGATAGTGATTGAATAGCCATAGTGAGCACTAGGCTAGGTGCTGATTGTTTAGTAGCAAGTAAGAGTTATGATCCCTGGTCTTGGGGAGTTTACACACTACAAAGGGAAGAAGACGGACATTAAAAATTACACTAAATATCTTAATTATTAAGATGTTTCCGAGCACCCTGGGAGGGTGTGAGAAAAGACTTGCCACAGTTCAAAAGATCAGAGCAAACTTCTCTGAGCAAGTGACTAAGCGACTTTTAACAGGAGTTGGCCAAATGATGCATGGAGGGCGGAATGCTGGATCAGAGGGACAGCGTGCAGGAAGGTTCTCTGAGGAGGAGCTCAGAGGAGTTTCGGAAACTGAAAAGCCAATGTGGAAGACAGAGAGAAGCCCGGAGAGCAAAATCATACAGGTTATTGTGCAGATCCTTAGGCTAGAAATAGAGCAGCTAAAAAGTTGATGAATACAAGGACAAAATGGAAAAAACAAATAGTGGAGACACTTGAAATTCTGAGGATCTGGTGGGGGCACTGTTCCACTAATTGCATATCTCTGTTAGCTGAATACATGAGCTCTGTGTTGTTAAGCTCCAACAGCCAGCTTCTGTTACATGCACCCAAATACTATGGTGCACTACAGAGCAGTGGTGGTGAACCTACACGTGTGTGCTACAGCCAGGTATTTGTTACCACTGAAAGCACTAAAGGTTCACCAAAAGCAATAGCTTTATTAAAAATAAAATAAAATAAAATAAAATAAAATAAAATAAAAGGTTCACCATCACTACAGTGGAGTAATATCTGCCACTTCAGGCTGATCATTCAGGAGCAGCCAATGCATTTCGTCTTCCTTACTGTTTTATAGGAGAATCAGCTCATTAGCCTACATATCACTCACTTTCCAGATCTCTTCAAATACTGCCAGTGGTCAGGTAGCAAAGGACACTACTTTCTAGATCTCCTTTGACTCGAGTTCAATGGGTTCCAGAGTGAGGGTTATATGTACCATTTATTCCTGAGACAAGTATTTATTTATTGCAATTCTGTGCTAGGATTATTGCAGGTACAGAGGTGATACCATCAGATGATTGAAGCTGGATGCTCACCAAACAGAAGGTCCTAAAGGATAAATTTTGAGCTGCTCCCAATAAGGGAGAGCTTAATTCTAGCAGTCTACTATCTTGTTCCTCATCTCACTCTTCTTTACCTCATCCTGAATTGAATAGTCTCACTTCATGTATTCAAGCATCAAGCTTTCGTTTTGTTTTGTTTTAGTGCTTTCCATGTGCCTAGAATACCCAGCACTTGGGCTGCGTATGCTGGTATTTTGCATGCCTAATCTTTTTTATTTTTATTTTTTTTTTGGAATAGTTAATCCTTGAACTTCAAAATAAGAATCACTCAAGTTTCAAATTTTTTGTGCTTTGTTACAACCAAACCTTGCCGGTCCACTATGGAGTTCTTCCAATGTCAATGCATCTGTGTTCTTTCCCATCCTCAGCTGTGGGAATAGGTGGACTAACCTTACCCTGACGTCATGATTGGGTGTTACATGCCCAAGCCCAAATGATGGAGCCCCTCACTCAGCTCCAAGGCACAACCAGAATAAACATGGGACAGCAGTGAAACACCTCATACGAGTCATTAACAAAAACCCAAAGGTTAAAGCTTTAGGAATTTGAGCCATGGGAACACTTTGGGTGAGGCAGACCATTGAGACAAGTGTTAGGAATCCTGGGACCACATTGTAATTTCTCTTTCAACTCCTGAGACTTTTAAAAGAATTTCTATGTGTATGTGTGTGTGTATAATATTTCAGGGGTAGAGGGTTTGGCTGTTTTGAGGATCTGATGAAAACTGTGGTACTTTTCTCCAAAGTAATACACACCCATGTGCATGTACACACACACACACACACACACACACACACACATACACATACACATATCTGGGACTTACTGTGAGGATGAAACTTTACTATAATTTGGTCATTTATTGTGTCCTGTTTGGATTTATCTTCTCTGTGTGTATATTTTATCCCAGTGAGTGGGCAGGTTCCCCGCAAAGACCATATACTTCTTTATGACCCCCTAATGACGTATGCATGTACAGACTGGGGCTTGTAGTAAACATTTGCCTATTTAGTCTTTTGAAGCTGCTTATGGTTTACTGAGAATAGGCAGCTTTCAATACGCCATTCTGTACCCCGCCTCATTCCAACACAATAGAGATCACCACAAGGGGACTTGGGCCTTAGACTTATGTTCTGTTTACTTTCAGGTTTTAGTTTGAGACATTATTTACATATTCCTCAGCCAAATGCCTGGATATTTCGGATATTTAGAGAACAAGACAATGCCAAATAAAAAGCTTTATAGCAAAAATAATAAGTTAATGCACTTTTATCTTTAAAATGTTGCAAAGTTCCAATGCTTTTATTCTTTCCTTTCTGTATCTCACCCCACACACCCACACTTGTAATCAGAATCCCTATTTGTTCCACCCTACAAGTTAATTCTCAAAGTTCACTCCTTTCCTGACATGTGCTTGTGGAAAAAATTAAAAGCGGAGTAAACCTAATGTTAATAGAATGGCGGCCATGTGCTTCTTACTTTTTTTTTTCTCTGATGTTCACCTCTGTGCTGTAAAGCCACCTTCTATCCTACCTTATTTGGAGCTTCGTTTTCCCACCCCCTTCCCCTGACTCTGCAGGCGATTACAGCCCCCTGGTGGCCATATGGGACAATAACAGCGCATTTTCCCCAAAACACTTCTAGTTTGAAAACTCTATGTACAGCAGTTACTTAGTCTTGGATCTGTGGGAAGTGGCGAAAGAGAAACCTACGGATGGAACCTGCAGCACAGGAGCCACACAGCATGCCTCTTGCCTCCCAGGACACACCACCGCACCCACAGACAGATGAATTCCTCAACGTGAGTTCATTCCGTCCAAATTTATTGAACAGCTGTGTGCCCAGCAATGAGAATACAGTGAAGAACAAGGACTAAACTTCTGCCCTTAGGAGCTTACAATCTACCAGCCAACTTTTCAGTTACATCCAAAATTTTACAAAGTAAGAACTCTGGAAAATGCATAGTGGTAAAGATATAACAAAGTCTTAACCTATCTTGGGAAATCAGAAAAGCATCCTTAAGGAAGAAATATTTAGGATCAACTAGGTGGAAAGTGAAAGGGAGTGGTGAGCAGGGAAAACAGTCTTTGTCAAGGCTTGGAAGCAAGAAGACACTAAGTCCATCTCTGGTATGGGGGGGGGCACTTAAGGAAATGAGACTCACCCAGTGGGGCACGGACACAGAGGACAGAGAGCAGTGTTAGAATAGGCAAAGTAGGCAGGACCTGATGTATGCAGGGTCTTTGAACTTAAAACTATTCCAGAATGAGCCACTGAAGAAGTTGAGGGAAGTAAGATGTTTTGATTTTTCAGAGCTCAGTCTGATTCTTTGCATGGAGAGCATAAGTGGAAATGGGGGAGCAGCAGTTAGGAAATTTCCCCAACAGTGTAGACAACAAGTGATGATAATTCAGAGAAGAGAAGTGGATTCCAGAGATACCTAGGAGATAAGATTCTGCTTGGTGGTTTTGGTTTTTGAGACAAGAGTCTTGCTGTGTAGTCCAGCTTGGCCTTGAACTCGCTATGTAGCTGAGGGTGGCCTCGAACTCATGGCCATCCTCCTACTTCCGCTTCCAGAGTCACCATACTCAGCTTCTACTTGGGTATATGAAGAAAGCAATATTTCTGGCAACAAGTACTAAAACTATGATATATACTACAAAAAAGAAACAAGTTTGGGCAGAATAAGCACATCGCATAGGCATGGGCCCTGAGTCTGGCATAAGAAAAACTACATAGCTTTGGTTCTTGAATAGCGTAGGTTTTAGTTGAAGATACACATAAAATCACTGCAGAATTGATTAAACATCACAGTGATTGATTCAGGTAATTCATGGGTCCCTGCATTGCATGGGACTAACAGAAGCCTTAAGCCTCAGTGAATTCAGACACTGCAGAAGTCAACAGAGATACCTTCGCCCTTGTTCGTGCTTCTCAGCTCCTCAGAAAACTCACGTGCAGCCCCCTAGTATCTCAGAGGGATCACGTTCTCTTGCACTGGGGGCTACGGTTCTTGTCCAAGAAGATACTCTGAATTCTTCCTGATTCATTTTTGGCTGCTGCTGCTGGGAGTTTACCTGTCTGTTTTTCTCAATTCCTGTCCCCTGTTTAAAGGCCTGTTAAATCAAATCTAACCATTGGTAGTTCTCTTTTGTTCAGTAGAAGGGTTTTCTGTTTTACTTAACTCTTCTGTTTACATGACTTCTATCAAGTCCGTCTTTTGGAGTCACTATTTTACAAAATCAACTCTGTAGTCCTCACCTTCTCCAAGGAGCAAGGCCTGTTGGTGGGGAAGAAAAAGTGCTTCCTTTTGCTCTCTCTCATCAAAGTGTCCAAATCTACAGGCCCTTTTCCCACTCTAGTTTTAACTTTAGTCAATAAATTTTCTGTTTGCTTCAAAAAAGTTAGTAAAGAAATTTTGCTATGGAATTAACAAAGAAGCAGCTTCAATAGCTACTGCCTGGCTGACACTCGGCCTTCCCTGCCCCCTTTGCCCCTGCAGTACTCTACCAATTAATTCCAATAAATAGGTGTGTGATGACACAATAGTCCTGTGGTTTCCCACAGTGTAACACACTTAGGACAAATCTACATCCCAAATGCTTATTCTGAGGGCAGTGGTTACAAATGCTAGCATGAGATCAGACATTGAGACAGTCTCTTTACACTGAAAAAGAATGTGATCTTTGGAGCTAAATACACTTGGACTTACAACCTAGTTACTAACCAATTTCCTTTGTGCTACTGACACTTTCTAAAGTTAAAAAGACTTAGTTGTGAAATAGTGTTAGTGCCATTTACCTTATGGGGCAATTGTCATAAAAAAAGGATGCATAAAGCATCCAGCATAATACCTATGTTGAATTACCTGATAACATTTATTTTCTTGTGTGTCAGCTGCCCAATACTCCTCCAGAGGGAGATAATACATTTCTGCAAGGTCAATGATAGTTATTTCCCATTCTTGTCTTTATAAATCTTGTATTCCCCAGCCATCCCATTTCTATGATTGGCAAAAATGTTCTATTCCCTCAACCCCATGTAGGACTTTTCTTACTATTAAAAAGTTCTACCTTAGTTCCATCTGACTTTCCTCCCTTTCATTTCCCTAATCTGAGATACTATGTTTCCTTGTGTCATTCCTAAAGATTAGTTCACTTCTAGCATTCTCCCTAACTTTCTCAGAGCAAAGCATAAAGGACCTGAGAATAGCAGTCTTATTCCTCATAAGAACAAAGGAATTGGGCTGGGAGTTTAGTTCAGCAGCAAAGCACCTGCCTAGCAAGTGCAAGCTTGTGAGTTTGATGCCTGGTACAAAAAAAAAAAAAAAGAAAAAGAAAGAAAAGAAAAGAGCAAAGGAATCAACCACAAGCCAGATCCAAGAGGAAATGGAGGTCTAAGTCCTAGCACCCCATACCCTGACGTCTTCCTCAAGGCACAGATAAAGGCAAACTCAAAATACGTCTTGAGTCTATAAGAGCGCACATCTTTCCTATAGCTCTGTGAGGTCATCATTGAAGTAGAGCAGTATTGCAGGCGTGTGGAGCGTCCCGTCCATGTTGAGATAGTCAAACTCTTCCTCCTCATCTAGAATCCCATTTTCTTCCAGGGTACAATTCATGTTCAGGTTCCTCCCTTCATATTTCCAGGTGTAGCTGGCAGCATGTGCATTGTAAGGGAGATAGCGGTGTAGAATTTCCCACATTGACTCCATAGCCCCCACCTGAAGAACACAGAAGCACCCTACCTCCAGAATTCTGGTTGGAAAACATACATACACACACGCACGTTGGAAAACATACATACACACACGCACACACACATACACAATGGAGGGGGACACCCAGTGTATGACAGCTGTGATTAGAATGTCTCCTTTGACACAGCCACTCAGGCACTGTACAGTCCCTGAAATGAAGCTGAGGTTCCAGCAAGTCTAAGAGATGGCCCAAAAGGGTCAAAACCACGTGCACACACACACACACACACACACACACACACACACTTCATCCTTGCAAGAGTGCACTGAAAGTCCAACTTCTGTTCCACTGAGTGTGTAAGAGCTTCCAAAGAGCACCATCACTAAGATGTTGCCCAGCACTTATGAAACAGTGTCTTGTACCACTGTGACCCAGACACTCCTAGAATTCCCAATCCTGGAGACCTGGGTAATCTGCTTTCCTCAGTCCCTACCCGTTATGGGAAACTGATGGTCCGAAGATCTGCCTGCTTCCCAGTTCCGTCTATGAAACCAAATCTCACCCAGGCACCACATCTCACCTCCAGTATGTGCTCCTGCGACGTAAGTGTGTTAACAATACAGATATTCCGCGTCTTGGCAGACAACAGCCCCACCTCGTATTGCGACCTCTTCCACCAGGGCTTCCCGAAATCATTAGCCCAGTCCGAACGCGGCAGCTGAGGCGGGACATGAACAAAGCGGCCCCGCGGGGTGCGGTACCTCAGGCAGCCCGTTAGCGGATCTATGTGCTTGCGGATCTTTAAAACAGGGTTTGGGAATGGGGGTTATCGGAGCAGTCACAATTCGAAGGTTCTAGCTATTGCACTTTTCCTCTCCAACCCCGCTCTCCCCGGAAATCAGCAGAACTCACGTCTGTGGTTTTTGGGTCAAACCAGTGGCTGATATCCTGGCCTGCAACTTCCAGGATGGGTTTCAGCTGCAGACTCCCTAGGAAGGGCAGCCGCTGTCAGTGCCTGTCACCAAGAACCAAGCACACCCCTAGCCGCCCCCGACCCGCACACACCCCATCTTTATTTTTTTTTAAACTTTTTATCGGTACCAGGGATCGAACTCATGACCGCCTGCTTGCAATGGAGGTGCTTATGCCGCTCAGCTAAATCCCCAGCCCCTTACACACCCCATCTTTGGCCCAACTTGTGTCCCTTACCCTTATACTCCTGTGCCAATGGGGTTAGGTTGTACACACGTCCCAGGTAAGACACCCAAAGGTCTTCAGGCCGGTTATGTTGTGCCACCTCCGCCGGCGTGAAATACCGCCGCCGGAAATATTCAAAGTCTGGCCCAGCCACTAAGCCTCGGCGCTTCATGGTTCTGGCTCTTTTAGACGCCGGGTCCCTTAGCTGTTTCCTGTCTCCTCAGTACACACTACAACATGCTCCCTGCCATTGAGGCGCTTAGACCAGTGCGTTTACTCGCTGACATGGAAACCATTGTCCTCTTTCAGCCACCGTCAACTAAGATTCAATGCTGTATGCGCGGAGGCAGCTCTTGAGCTGCATATGCTCACGGGAAATGTAGTCTGATTCCGGCGTCAAGTATATCCAGTTAGGTCTACGGAAAAGCGAACACACTTCATTTTAAATCAGGGGCCTTGGATACATGCAATATCTAGGAGAAATTACGTCCTACGATAGAAAAACGAGAAGGGAGGAAGGATAGAAGAAGGTATTCTTGTAAATTTCTGGGTTTCTTCAGGATGTATAAGAAACTACAGGGAAGCCTCTCGCGATACATTAAGACATCCGGCGTAATAGGTTTAGTGAGCCACAGTAGAAGCTCGCGAGATCTCTGCAATTGCCCGAGAAACTAGGAGTGATCTCGCGAACGGAAAGAAGTCGGAAGGGCTCGCGAGATCTCAGAACACTGGACCCGAAAGGTTCTCAGAAGTTCAAGCGCCCAGAGGAGGTCCCTGGGCAAATGGCTGGAGCTGGACCGACCATGCTACTGCGAGAGGAGAATGGGTGTTGCAGTCGGCGTCAAAGCAGCTCCAGCGCCGGGGTTAGCGCAGGCTCGGGATCATAGATTGAGGCGCAGTCGGGTACCAAGATGGGGGTACAGAGAGGGAACTGCAGCTCCCGACAGCCTCTGGGCTTCGTGTGAGTGCCTCGCGGGATGCCGGGAGCTGTGGTTCCGCGGGCGGCCGGGCGGGCAGCCCTGGTCGCGTGGTCTGAGTCAGTGTCTTTGCCCCGTGCAGGACTCCGACGGGGAGCATGAGGACTCTCCGGCTGCGCGTGCCCGGCAGCAACTGGAAGCGCTGCTCAACAAGACTATGCGTATTCGCATGACAGATGGGCGGACACTAGTCGGCTGCTTCCTCTGCACCGACCGCGACTGCAATGTCATTTTGGGCTCGGCGCAGGAGTTCCTCAAGCCGTCGGGTTAGTGCCCAGAGGACGCACACCCATCCGAGCATGTGCCAAGACATTTCCCCTTCAGACCTGGCTGTATCCACTTGTTTTCTAGGGCTGTTTTTTGTTGCTCAGAAGGGATGGGACCGATACTGGCTTGCTTCACTGATCCTTTGACCCTTCTTTCCAGATTCTTTCTCTGCCGGGGAACCCCGTGTGCTGGGTCTGGCCATGGTACCGGGACACCACATCGTTTCTATTGAGGTGCAGAGGGAGAGCCTGGCAGGTTCCCCGTATCTTTGACCACAATCGTGCATGTCTTCGAGATTTCATTAAATTTCTGACCGAAGTGTCTGGTGTGTAACCTGGATTTCAGGGCAGGAATAGGGCATCATACCCTTACAGGAAAAGGTTTTTCCGAGGTCGAGATCATTCTCAGTCCTCCTCCCCCAACCTAAGGTCCTGGATGCCAAAGGTGCTCTCTACTTTGAGGGTGGGGCTAGGGAACAGCCAAGCTGTAAACCAACAGACCCCAGGGTGGGCCCCCCAGCATCTCCCCTCCCACGATGCTGATCCTGGGTTGTGACCGGAGGGGATGGAGGGGGCGTCATCCTGCTCCGGAAGGCCCATTGTTTCCCACTCCGGCCTGGCAGTCCTGAGTTCCTCTAGGCTGAGGTCAGAGAACAAGCTTGGGTCCCCAAGGAGGCAGCTGAAACAGGGCCCCTTCCACTTTGTTGATGGGGAGGTGACACTGAGGTCAGGGACACAACTCTGGGGTCTGACCAGGAAGACCGGACTAACGAGATAAGGGAAGGCGAAGGCGAAGGCGGGGAGGCTGAAGGATGCGCCGGCCTGTGCAGTTGTACTGTGAGGATGTACCCTGGGGAACTCATTTCCTGCTCCTGGGCACAGGGCAGGAACCATTTTTTTTTGTGCCACCCCTCTGTCCATGGAGCACATTCAGTTCAAAAATTCTTTATTGATGTGCCATCCCTTCTTCCCCTCCACCTCTGTCCTTCAGGGCTGTAAATACAAGGTGTCCTACTCACGTTAAGGAATGGGAGGGGACGCTTGCATGCAAGGTCCACCCTACATAGAGATGTGAGTAGGAAGAAGAAAGTGGGTTTTCCGGGGGCATGGGACTACCATGGGTCCCCAGAGGTTGCTGTTCCCCAAAGGGATGCTAGGACCCAACTAAGAGAAGGACTGAGCAAGGCAGAAGATCCCGGGTCTCATTTCCAATCCATGGGCAGACAGGGAAGGAGGGCAGACATAGCTGGTTCTTTTGTTGCGGCTCCTCAGACCCAGACCTTTCCTGGTGTGGGAAGAGGCTGAGCCCCTGGTGAAGGCCGGGTTTGCTTGGGCTGCAGGGTACCCTGGCGCCTCCGGTAGAGGGCTCGGCTGTAGGGCACGAGGCAATCGGCCAGGCGGAGGCGGAGGCAGAGGCGGCGGTAGCTGGCCAGGGCAAGCACAAGCAGCGGCAGGAGGAGCAGGAATCCGGTGACCAGCAGGGCTGTGAAGCCCGGGTCCCGCAGGTGTGCCGTGCAAGGGGGTGCCTGGGAGCGCAGGAACTGTGGGAGGAGAAAAGCGGTCAGGCACGGGACGGCCCGCCCGGGCCACTCTGCCCAGGATAAAACACCCGAATCGGGTGAGCTGGTGGCCTGCAGGCACCGCCACCAGCAGCATCACTACACACAAAAACCACCCACGCGCACGCATGCCCTGGGGTGTGTGCTCACCTGGGAGTGGCAGAGAAAGCCAAAGCCCAGCATGGTGACAGCGGGTAGCAAGATGGTGCCCAGTACCAGCGCCAGCAGGAGAAGATTGAAGGCAGCCACCAGCAGATTCTGAGCCGTTACCAGCACGGCGCAGGCCCAGCAGTCCAGGGGATCCCGGGGCTCTGGGCCGCCGCCGAGAGCCGGTCGCTGCGCACCAGGGATATCCGCCATGGCCCGGCTGGCTCCCGCCCGCCCGCCGGCCCGGGCCTCGGCCCTTTTAGCCCTCTTTCCTGCCCCTCCCCTGGGCCAGCCCCTCCCCCCCCATCCTGGAATGTGGCTCCAGGATTAGACACCCCCATCCCAAGGAGAGCCCAGAGCGCCCTGGACATTCCACAGGCGCCTCCGGGGAGGGGCTCGCCCTCGCTAGGGTCTGTCCGCCCCATCAATCACCGTCCTGCAGCCCTCCCTCCGTGCCCTGCCCTGCTATCACCAGCAGCACGTTATCAAAACAGGGGTTTTTCTGCTTTTATTTTCAATATTAATATTCTCACACAAAAATCACCAAAATAGGGGTAGGATTGGGAAGACCTCTCCGCCCCTGGGACAGAGAGACAGTGCAGTGCCAGGGGCGAGACTGTAAACCCCCACCCCTCCGCAGCCCAGCAGGGAGAAAAACCCACCCCAAATACACCGGGAAGCGCGCCGGGGTGCCCCTGCCCCGAGAGGCCCTGGCCCTGGGCTGGTTCACACTTGAAAGCAAAAAGGGGTGGCGGGCTGCAGGCCTGGTCTTCAGCACTGGCCTGGCTGGGGATGGGTCCTTCTCCTCACAGTTCTGCCTTTAAAACTTTTAAATGTATTTATTTATTTATTCTTTATTTATTTTTTACAAAATACCATTTCAGTTCCCACTTCTCCCCTACAGTACAGGAGTCGCTCACCCTCAGGCGGGGTCGGGAGGCGGGGTGGGGTCTGGTCCGAGAAAGTGCAGGCGTCGGGGAGGAGGGGAGCGGTCTGAGCACCATGAGCGCCCGCGGGGCCGGGCGGGCGGCGGGCACGGGCGGGCGGGAGGGCAGGGCGCGCAGGGGTGCGGGAGAGGCCGGGTTTTCCCAAAAATGAATAAATAGAGGTGAGTGGGACTGTTATAAATTAAAAGTCAAAAACAAAAAGAACAAAAATACAAATCATAACCAAGTGAATAGACAGACATGGACAGGGTCACAGCTAGCATCGGGAGTAAAAAACGGGGTCCGGGGTGGGGGAGCCCATAGAAGAATCTCATTGAAACCTCGCTGCCAGTCTATGTACATCCGCGGCCGCGCAGCTGCGCCCGGCGGGCAGGCGGGAGGGACCCGTATGCGGTTGACCCCGCGCCGCCCGCCGCCCGCCGCCCGCCGCCCGCCGCCCGCCGCCCTTGTGTCTGTCGCTGAAGGCCAAGTCGGTGAGGGGGCGGGGCGGGGCTGCGGCCCCTCCGCCTCCCTTTTTTCCTTTTTTTCCTCTTGTTTAAAAAACCTTTCCTTAATAAATTAAGTGAGGAAGCTGCCGATGGGGTGCAGGGCTGGGCCCGACCCCTTCCCTGCCGGGCGGGACCGACGTCGGCCCGGCTGTGCTGGTGGCCCGCGTCGCCCTGCCAGGGCGGGCGTCCGTCCGGCCTCATCGCGACGAGCTGGCGGGGGCCTGCGGGGAGAAGGTGGGCGCGGGCTGAGCGGGCGCCCGGCCTCGGGGCCGCCCGCCCCCCTCCGGCGCCCCGCAGCCCCGCCCCCACACCCCCTCCGGCGCCCCGAAGTCCCGCACCCCGCGCCCCCTCCGGCGCCCCGCGCCCGCCCGCCCGGCCGGCCCTCACCAGCGTGAAGGCGTCGTAGGCCTGCGCCAGCTCCTCCGTGCGGTACTGCTCCAGCACCACCACACCCTGCAGGCCCGCGCTGCGGCGCCGCGCGCAGCCCTCGCAGTGCACCAGGTACGTGTTGCGGCTGCCGTTCTCACTTGTCACGAACAAGATATTGAACACCTCCACCTGCAGGGCGGGCAGGGTCACGGGAGCGGCCGGCACGAGGGCCACCTCTCCCGCGGGGCGCGCGGGCGGGCGGGCGGGACACGGGCGCACTCACATCACACTCGTTGCAGTAGTAGGCAGGCTCGTCCTTGACACGGCCCTGGTAGGCGATCTTCTTGCCTGCCCGCACCAGGCTCTCCCGCTGCACCTGGCAGTGCTTCATGGACTGCAGGAGGCAGAACCTGCGGGAGAGGCGTGGGGGTTGCAGAGGGGAGGCCTCGGCCGGCCGGGCCGCGCTGCTGGGCAGGACAGGGCAGGGCTGCATGGGGCAGTGGGGCGGGGGCTCTGCCCTGGAGACCTCGGGGTCAGGAGCCAGTCCTCTGGGCGCTTCCTGCTTCAAGCCCGGGTCACACCCCCTTTTTAGCACCTCTAAATTGTGAGTGCTTTTTGTCTGTTTAGACCACTGAAAAATAAGGGTTCTGGGAACAGCTTCCTCTATAGGCAGCTCCCCTCACTTAATTCATTAAGAAAAAAAAATTTTTTTAAACAAGAGGGTAAAAAAGGGAGACAGGAGGGGGGGCCAGCAGCTCCTCCACACAGCAACACTGGGCACACAGCAGACAGGGAGAGAGGTGAAGAATCCCGGGGAGTCCCTCAGGAGGAACAAGGGCAGGGAGCAGGCTGGATGCAGCCTGAGTCCCCCCAGACAGGACCCTCACTTGATCATCTTGAACAAGTCGGGATCGCTGATTTTGACTGTGCGAGCCACATTCCAGGACACGTGAATCATGGGCACGATGGACTTGACGTTCTTCACCTCGTTCCACTCATACCGTTCCAGGGCCAGCTGGTACTGATAGGCTGCAGGCCAGAGGGACTCAGCACAGGACTCTCAAACAGGCCCCAGCCACCTGGATGCAAGGCCCTGCCAGCACAGCTGGCCACCGCCGAGCCCACCCTGGCCCCACAGGCCTCTCTCCACACACCCCACCCCTCCCTACCCCCTGACTTGGCCCCACACTCACCAGTGAGGGGCCCCACGTTCCAGGCGATATTGTTGCACCAGCCAGTGGCCTGAACCCAGTGCACGGTCCCTGCGTTGATCCACACCAGGTCTCCCGGGCGCTGCACGAAGCGGTACACAGGGATGTTGGAAGCATAGAGGTCATCCAGGATAGGCCACCAAGAACCCGTCAGGTAGTCCACACCATGCCTGCAGGGTGGGAAGCCACAGTTAGGAGGGAACGCCGGGGACCCTCGGGTGGCGCTGTGCTGGGGAAGGGGACGCACCGATCACAGAAGGCGCTGATGGTCTCCCAGTAGTGCTCATGCACTGCGAACCATTCGCAGTCTCCCGGGCCAATGTTAATATTGACAGAGCAAAAATTGTTGTTCTCCTGGTGGCCTGCAGGTGGAAACAGAGAACCACAAAGCCGGTGATCAGAGCCTGTGGACTGCCTGCTGCAGTCACCCCAGCCTTTGTCCCCTCGGCCTCACCCCCAACTGTCCTCTCCTGCATTTCCAGAGCTGTGCTCCGGGCAAGGTACGCACCTGGCGTCCGGCTGCCCGGGACCTTCATGTAGAGCTGCACAGTGTTCATGCCCAGGATGGTGTGGCCCACGTGACTGAGCATGTTGCCTGTGGATGTTACCCGCATGAAGGCAGGCAGCTTCAGCAGCTCCTGCAGCTGCGGCTTCCACCTGCAGGGGTGAGGGGGCACGCACTGTGAGAAGGGCCCTGCGCTCAGCAGCACCCCTGCCCGGCTCTGCTGCCCCGACCCCACTGACCGCTTGGCGTCAGACAGGTCGATGTTGGTGCCAAACTTGATGATATGATGGTTCTTCGGGTCTGGCGCACTGCTGCTGGGGCGAGAGAACACAGACGGGTTGGTGGAGGGCCCACAGACGAGGAGGAGTCCCACAGGCAAGTGGCGCGATCGTGGCCTACCTCGGAGGGGTTCCGGTGGTGCTGTCTGGCTCCTCTGACTCCTCATCCTCACTCTCCTTCTCCTCCTGCTCAGCCAGAGTGGTAGCAGGCCGGTCAAGACCCCGCCCAGGCCCCCCCTGCCCGCAGCAGCCAGCCTCGCCCGCCTGCCCCTCACCTGCAGGGACTCCTGGAAGGATGAAGCCTGGTACTGCGCGTACTTGGCGATGGTGGTGTGGGACCTCGAGCTCTCACAGGGCCAGATCTGTCGTGTGCCAGTCAGGTCCCAGTTTTCATCTGAGGGCTGCTGGACCTGGGTGCGCACCTCCACAGTGTGCTCCCCACTTGCCTCCACTAGCGTCTTAGTGGAGAAGAGGCCCAAGTCTGCAAGGGAAGGTCAAGCAGGGCATGGGGCAGTGGCAGGGGGTGGGCACCTGAGTACCCAACTCACCCCTGTCACGCCTACTGCCCAGGCCTTTGACAAGGTGGACAGCAGGCCTGGCAACACTCAGCCCACGAAAATGGACAAGAACACCAGTCCCATGTGAGGCCAGAAGGGCTGGTGACATAGTCAGCCCCGTGCCTCTAAGTAGGCACTCAATGACTGGCCAACTTGTTTATCATTTGAGCCAGTTAAAAATTTTGTCAATCAAAAGAAAGCCTGGAAAGTGTTTCAAATAGCCTGGTGTGGCTCTATGGGTGTACAGGTACCACGAAAATGAGGAGTGACCTCCACATTTCTCTAGTTTCCTCCACCTTTATGTTTGAACTTTACATATTAAAAGGCTGAAAAAGAGGTGGATGTGGTGATGCCATCTGCCAGCCCAGCTGAGCACGTAGTGCATGGCTGTAATCCACCACTGGGAAGGCTGAGGCAGGAGGATCACCATGAGTCAGTCCGAGGACAGCCTCGGTTACACAGTGAGTTCAAGGCCAGTCTGAACTAAGTATAAAGACCCTGCATCAAAAAAAAAAAAAAGGAAAAAAAAGAAAAAGCCCAAACCATGGCTCTGCAAGGGTTGTTTACGATCTGTATTCTCATTGTTGGTCACCAAGAAAACCAAAAATAACTCCAACCAGGCCTCAGGATATGTACCTTTCCCACTGCCCACTGTAAGGGACATGTGACAGACGACAGACGGGCACACTGCTGAAAGCCAGCTGCTCCGTCACTTACAGCTCACCTCGCGTGGCCTGCATGTGACGGACTGAGCAGCTGAAACCGTGATAGCTGCGGTCCGAGGCCTCAGGTGGGGTTCTCACAGGGTCACACCTGACCCGGCCCCTGCCACCCTCCCTCTGCCGCCCACCTCCCACTCACTGAGCCGCAGGGACCCTGCCAGGCCCCGGATCACGGTGATGGGGTTCCGAGGGTCCGTGCAGAACTGCAGCAGCACCGGGGAGAAGGCATCTCGCTTGCTTTCCAGCTGAGAAGCAAACAGGACAGAGCGGGCATGAGGGGCCCCGCCTCAGGCGCCAAGCACCCCCCAACACCCCCTTAGCGCCCGCCCGCGCACATAGATGCTGGGTGTGGGAGGGTTGAGTTTTTCCCGCGGCAGCTTCTCCTCGGTGTTGATCTTCGGTTTCACAGACTGGGCAGGAGAAAGGTAGGACTCCCGAAACTTCCCTTTCACCTTGGCGTTCCTGCGGGAGGACATTGGGATAGACCGGACATCCAGCGGGACGACGGCGGGCAGGCCACCCAGGCCACCCACCTAGTGGGTGACGGCCACCAACTCACTTGCTGGCGCGCACCACGTCGGCGGCGCAGTGGCTGATGGTGAGGTCTGCCATGCGCAGCCGCCGCTCCTCCACCTCGGAGGCGATGAAGGTCTCCTTGTCCCCGCTCTCCACCTTGATGAGGCGGATCTTCAGCTCCTTGGGGGGCCCCTCACTCAGCGAGCGCAGCTTGAGCATGTCGGCGCGGCTGACGCCCGGAGGCCCCGGGGCGTCCTCTCTGGTCCTCCTCCCGGGCGCAGGGGCTGGCGCGGGTGCGGGCTGGGCGGCAGGGGCAGGGGCTGGCGGGAGGGCGGGCGCGGCGGGCGGCGGCGGCGGCGGCGGCGGCTTGGCCTTGGAGGCCCCGCCGAGCTCGGGCCGCGCCTTCTCCCGACCTTGAATCTCCTTGCTTTGCAGGTCCAGGTTGCCCAGCACCCGTCGGCTCTTCTCTTTGGGGGCTCTGGCCTTGGCCCTGCCCTCCCGGGGCCGCCGGCCCGCTCCGTCCTTACAGGCCCGCCTGTGCCTCCGGTGCTCCTTCGGGCACCTCTTGCCGCCGCCAGGCCCCGGGGCCGCCGGCACAGCACCGCTCTCCTCCTTGACCGCTGCGGGCGGCGGCGGCGGCGGCGGCCGCTCGGTGGCACTGTCCAGCGGGCCCGCGGTGTCCACCGCGTCTCCTGGGTCCGTGGCACTCCGGCCCACCCGTTCCACCAGAGTCTCGCACGCCCGACTGATCTCCTCTAGCACCTCAGACTCGGAGCGAGCAGGCGGCAGTGGCAGGGGTGGGGGTGGCTGGGCGGGGGTCGCAGGCCCCGGGGCCGGCTCCTCGCCCGCCCTGTGCTCCCGGGCCCAGGGCCCGCCTGAGGTAGAAAACTGAGATGACAAGGAAGCAGAGGGCTGTGGGGAGCCCTGGGCACTGGGGGCCACTGAGGCGGGTGGCGGGGCAGTAGCACCTGATGGGGGGCCGGGGGAATACTGACTGGTGGACACGGGCCCGGGCCGGGTGGACACCGCCGCTCCGCTCCCCCGGTAACAGTACTTCTGTCCTTCCAGCACACAGGCCAAGGATTTGAGCAGGCTGGCCGGGCTGGCTGGCGGAGGGGCGCCGGGCGGTGGGGGCTGCGGCTGGGAGGGTGGCGGGAACTTGGCTAGAGGTGGCGGTGGGGGCAGGGCTGGTGGTGGCTTCTTTTCCTCTTCCTGGGTGGTGGCACTGGCAGTTGCAATGGTGGCGACGGCGGCAGTGGCGGTGGTGGTGATGGTGGTGGTGGCGTCAGCAGTAGTGGTGGCAGCAGTGGTGGCCGGGGCTGTGTCGGCAGGGAACGCAGGCTGCAGAGATGCGAAGGGCTCCTTCAGGGGGGGCTGGGGGACCACTCCCGCCTCCTGCTGCTGCTGCTCCTCCTCCTTTCGGATGGATTCATCCAGCATCTTCATGATGTTAGCCAGCCCATCGGGTAGGATCTTGAACTCAGCTGGTTCTTCAAACTGGTCCTCCAGCGGGGTTGGGGGGAAATCAAACAGTTGTGGGCCTCGAGCGGGCAGGTCCCCAACCCCAGGCGGCACGGGCTGAGGGGCTTTACTCAGGGGGCCCGGGAGTGGCCCCGGCTCCACCTCGGGGGTCTTTGGGAAGGAGACCCCAGGCCGTGGGCTCTCCGAGTGCCTGAAGCTTCCTGAGGTATTTTGGTGGCAGGAGGAGGGAGGAACAGGAGGTAGGGCGAGGGTCAGGGGCGGAAGAGGTGCGTCCTGGGGGCTCAGTGTCGGGCTGGGGGGCTGGGGAAGGGGCTCCCCACTTCTGGGCAGATAGGGAGGAGGGGAGAAGGGCACAGGCCCGGTGGGGCTGCTGCTGTGACTGCTGCTGTGACTGCTGCTGCTGCTACTGCTGGTGGCTGGGGGAGTGGGAGGCGTGTGCGAATCCTGAGTGCCCACAGAGAAGCGGGGAGCTGGAGGCCCCAAGAAGCCCTCACGAGGGGGAAGGGATGGTGGGGGAGGGCGGGGGGGTCCTTCAGCCCCAAAGAAGAGCTCCTCCAAGATCTCTCCATCTTCTCGGGCTCCCCGGCAGGCCGGGCCCTTCAGCCAGGAAGGTGGTGGTGGGGGACGCAAGAGGCGAGGACAGTGGGGTGGGGGGGGTGTCGAAGGCCCCGGTGGCAGGGGCAGGTGGGACGTGGCAGTGGGAGCCGCCGGAAACGGTTTCCGACTGCTGTGTGCCAAGGGCCCCAGGCGGCCCTGGTGAGAGGAGACCTCCAGTGCGGGAGTTTGGTAATGGTCGGCGCCAGGCTGCAAGCGTAAGACCCGGCAGTCAGAGCGCTGCTCTGGCCACCTCCAAGCACCACCTCCGGCAAGCCCATGTGGATCATCACTCACGAGGCCTGGGCTCGACTCCACACCCCGGAGACCGGTGCTGCTGCTGCTGCTGCTGCTACTGCTGGTGGTGGTGGTGATGCCAGGGAGGCCAGGGGGCCGGGAAGGGGCGTAAGGCACGCAGGCGGTAGTTGCTGCTGGTGAAACACTGGAGTCCATCCGCGACCTCTGAACTCTGCTCTCTCTAAGGTCACTTCCGGGGGGACGGGTTGTAGGCAGGCAGCCATGGCTCTCTGCTCCTGGGGGGCGGGGACCGGGGCCTGGGGGTGCAGCCGGGACCAGCCGGTGGCTGGGGGGAGGATGCGTGGCATAGGCTGGAGCTGGGTATGGGTACGGGTGAGGCAGGGAGTGCCGCTGCTCCTGTGGGAGACAGACAGAGACATGAGTGAGGAACGGAAGGTGTGGAGCTTGCAAGTAAAATATGGCAGCCAACAGATCTGGGTTTACCTGGCGCTCTGGGGGTCCTGAACCCTTGCGCTCAGGGGCCCAGCTGTCTCCATGCAGGGTATTCCACAGCCCTGGCTTTGTCAGCTGAAATGGGGGGCTGGCAGCCAGGCAAGAGAGGGATGGTGGTGGCGGTGGCGGTGGCGGCGGTGGTGGCGGTAATGGTGGTGGAGGCAGCGGCAGCCCAGGGGGAAGGCCAGTCTAAAAGAGAACAGGCTATGAGAACCTAAACCCTGTCCCAGAGCCCGGCACCTCTGTCTGGGGCCCACCTCCTGTCACACCTGCTCAGAGCTGCAGCCTCTCCTGCGCTTGCCTCCAGGGCTAAGGCCCTCTTCCCCTGAGGGGCCTGACAGTGTGGCAGGAGGCACAGGCTGCACCACCGGGGGTTCAGCAGCTCGCTTCACTGGAGGACCTCCTCGCTTGGCCCCATAGTTCCGCTTGTGCTGGGGACAAAAAGAGGAGATGAATGGCACAGGTGCAGGCTTTGCCTGGCCCTCTTTCCTAGCCCACCTACCGCCCAGCCTCACCTCAAGGTGCAGCAAGTTCCACACTTGCTCCAGTGGGGGCAGGACCTTGGCTCGGTGTTGGCAGGAGCCAGCATGAAAGTTCCAGAGCTGGGCCTAGGGGTGGGGATAAAAGACAGAAGAAAATACAAGGTGGGCCCCTGAGCCAGGAGGCAAGGCACGATGCCAACCCTTATGCCTGCCTCATCCTACCTGCTGCAGTCGTCCAATGCGGGGTCCCAACTCAGCAAAGCTCCCCCCATAGCGAAGGGCGCTGTGGTAGCAGCGAGTGGCCTCCTCACTGTCATGCTCGGACTCATACAGCTGCCCGAGCTGTTCCCACAGCCCCGGCTGCACCGGGTCCCGGAGCAGCGCCTGTACACAGCCGTGCAGGGATTCCAGCTTCCCATGGAGGGGCCTTGGGGTAGGCGTCCTACAGAACAGAAAGCGTTCAGGAAGGTCAGGCTTGGGAAAGCTCCATCAAGGCTCCAGCCTTACCCTGCCTCAGAAGCTCTGAGTTCTCTACTTACCCTGGAGCATAATATGGTTTGTTGGGGTGCCCAGAGCTACTGCCATGTGAAGGGGGTAGGGGTGCTGGGATGGGGGGCTGCCCAATACTGGCTGAGCATCTGAAGAGAGAAAGGGTTTGTTACATACACCAAGAAGGAACAGTCTTGTCCCTCAAAAGGAAGGCGGGGACTGAGAAAACAGGAACAGCTGAGGATGGTCCTGAGGCCCAGAGAATGACAAAACCATACAGAATGACAGAAACAGAGGATGAGGAAAGAAGCAGAGAGAGAGACAGACATGTAGCCCAAGGTCTCACCTGCCTCCAGGCAGCCATGCACTACGAGGAGGGGGATGGGGCGGGCAGGAGCTCCAAGCCCCAGAGCAGCTCAGGCCCCCAAGGGCAAAGGCTTCCCGAGCAGCGCGGGCCCCTGGAGGGTCCACTGCCCGATGCATCCAGCCTAGATCAGGAGAAAGAGATTATGCTTTTACTGGGGGCAAAACCAGCGTTGCCAGTGTAGGCTCAGCCAACCCGTCCCAGCTTTTCTTTCCCCTTACCAGGTCAGCAGTGGCCCCAGGAGCCCTGGAGATCGAGCACGGCCCCCTGCCCCAGTTCTCTGGGAGGATGGTCCGGCTCCAGCCACTCTGACAACAGTGCCCCTGACCCTCCACAGCCGATACTAGAGAGAAGAGGAAAATGTGTACAGTAAGCTGACCAGCACAGTCAGGGCCCAGGGGCTGGCACCCACAGATCGTTCATTCACAGAGCCTCATTCGGCCTAGGGAGCCCCTCGAGGAACATGAGAATAGAGTGGCTGGAAACTGGGAGCAGTTGGAGGGAAATGGGTGGCAGGTGTGAGCCGGTGAGAAACCACCAGGACCCAAAAGCCGCTGTCGCTTACCCGGCCCGGGTGGGAGCGTCCTCTCTCAGCGTTGGTAAGCTCCAGAGATCTAGCCAATCACAGGACTTCCTTTCTCCCCAGAAAGCCAATCATCACCCGTGTCTCCGCCTCAGTAACAACCTAGCCGGAACCAATAGGAGCAAGGTTAGCCCCGGAGGCAGCGGCTCCGAGGAGGAGGGGCGGCTGAGCCGGTCAGACCGGCTCGGCCCCAGGTGACCCCGATATGACCTCGCAGCTCCCACCTGGGGTCCCCGTCGCGGATGTGACACCTGGGCCGGCAGGGCAATAGCGGTAAGCAGGCTGGCTGGGTAAGACCCGTGCGAGTAAGGGCGATGAGTCTCATTCACCGGCCGGCCTGGGGGACAGAGCTGCCCGCCATCCTAATACACCGACAGAACCGACCGTGGTCCCGGCCAGACCGCACGAGTCAGCCCCTGCCTGGCCACTGCGGAGCCACCCCCGAGTGCCCCTTACAACTGTTTGGTGCTAGTCGGGCACAGGCACTGGGACTCCCGCACCCAAGCCCCTCAGCCGCACTACGAGAGCGCTCCACCCCCATCGCCAGCACCATTCCCAAACCACGGTCAAGTCCTAAACCTCAAACCTAATTCCTCCACTTCCTGGCTCTCGGAGTCAGTGCCAACCGACGCCCCCCAAACCAGGCCCCCCTTTAATCCCCCAACTTCTGAGAAGTTGCGCACCGTGGTCCCGAGTGTTCCTTCTCGCGTGGCTCCAGTATCCTCTATGCTCTTTCCCCGCTGGGGCCACGCGGTTCCCCACGGCCCACGTGGCCCCCGCCCCCCAAGGGAGGGGGGGATTTCGGGGGTTGCCCGTGACGTGGCTACTTGCGCAGCGGAAGCGCTGTGTAAGTGTGTGTAGGGGGGGTCCTTAGTGAGGGAAGAGGGCGGGGCTCGACAGGCAGTGACATCACCCCTGTCCCACTCTCACCGCCTACTCCCTTAAAGAACCCAGAACGCGTTTCAGTTCCTCCTTCGTGCCCCCCCGCCCCCCCTTTTCTAATCGAAGCCGACCCGACCCACGGCGGCACAGCGCTCCCCTTTCTAGGCACCTCCTCTTTAGCCCTGACTACTCTTTCTGTCCTCTCTCGGGCCAGGAGCTCCGTCCCGAGCCTACCCCGAGTCCCCGCAGGTAGGGAGCCGGCTTCGCTCCCAGGATCGGTCCATTGAGAGTCTAGAGTACAAAGGACTGCGAGAGGCGAGTACAAAGCGGCGGGGGCGGGGCCAGCGCTCCAGCTGGAGCGCGCACTGGGCAGGAAGCCGGGGGAGAGCTCGCGGCGAGGGGCTGGGGGCGGCTGGAAAGTTCGCCTTCGCTGAAAAGTGTGCGCTGTGGGGAAATTTCCACCCACCCCACAAGTGCAGCAGGATTTCTGGTGAAAACACCCCTGCCTCCCGCAGAGGCAGTGTCATCTGTTCGCATGGAAGTGCTTGGACCCTACAGGTCCCGACGTGCCACTCTGCCGCGAGCCCTGGTGGACGCTCACGCTTCTCGGGCCGCTCCGTGGTTCACATAAGAGTTTTTGTCACGACACTCTACCTCGAAACAGCGGCTTTCCTCTAAGATACCAATCCCTAGAAGAGGACAATGCTTAACCAACTGGTCGAGTGGATCCCAGGCTGGCTGCCCGCAACCCAGATCTGCAGGAGACACACGGAGCAGTCGTGGGCAAACGAGGACCTGGCAGACTAGGTATCAGAGAGGCAGATCCCTACTAAGGAAGTGGTGCTCAGGGCGCAGCCAGTTACCAGGAAATGCTGCTTCCCTTTCTGCGATGATGACACTTTCCCTCTCCCACTTCCCCTTTCCCACGGGGAACTGAGTCAGCTTTCCCTGCACTAGCGAGTTCTGCCCCTTTGCCTCCTGGTCTTCAGTCTTTATCTACAAACCCCCACGCCAGCATCTGGGAATACAGTCGCCTCCCCTGAGGACAAAACTTCCTGTGCACTAAGCACACTTCTAGGCAGCTGCCTCTGATCCTGGTCCCCACCCCGGACCCCCCACCCCCAGCCCTCACTTGGGGCCTGATTCAGTCTTGGGGTGGCAGCGTGTGAGTCAGCCAGAAAACCTTTCCCCATTCCCACTGACTCAGCCCCCGCCTCCCTGAACTCAGACACACAGTCACAGGCAGACACAACTCTTCAGCCCACACACCGCTCACCACCAGTCCGCGGAATTTCCCCCTCGCCTCTCCCCCACGACGGTTCCTTCCCGCGCGGGGTAGCCCCGCCGCCGCAGCAGCACACCTGTTCCCTGGCCAGCGGGCAGCCGCTGGCTGGCAATCAACTCTCACCTCCACTCTTGCTCTGGGGTAGAAATAGCCCTTTCCGACTCCGGGTGTCCACACTAACCCAGAGGAGGGGACAACCACGGGCAGACACAAAGACAAGACACCCACAGACTTCTCGAAGACGGGTGGGAGACAGATGCACGCGGTCAGAGCCAAGCTGGGAGGCCGACGCACTTCTAGGGCAAACATTCCAGACTCTCCCGACCCGATCCACAATCCCGAGATCTAGCCGCTCGGAAAGGGTTAATTCCGCTCCACCGAGGACACGCCCTCTCCATCCGGGCACTCCCGGCGAAGCCCAGCTCCACCCCCTCCATCCGGGCTCCAGACTCGCGGACTTTAACCTGCCCCGCCCTCTGGCGCCCCTGGAGAAAAGCGCTCCATCAATCACACCTACTTAACTCTCTCCGGGCTTGGGCCGAGGAGCCCCTCCGCGCGGCGCCCCGGCCTCCAGGACGCGTCCGAGCGGCCAGCCGCGCGCACACAGTCTCAGCCCCGCTGGCGGGGCTACCGAGCAGACACCGGCCGGCGGCACAGGCCCGTTCCGGACCCCGCGGCAGCCCGCTCCCCGCCCGTCCGCGCTCCGCCTGGTGGAAGCCAGGTGCGGGCGGCGCGCTGCTTACCTGGGAGAAGGCGAGGCGGGGGTGGGGGGCAGCAGGGCCGCCGGCGGAGGCGCTGCGGTGACTCAGCCACCCGGGCAGGCCGCCCGCCCGGGATTCCCTTCCCCAGCCTTCCCCGCGGACGGCCCCTCTCCGCCCCCCGCCGAGGAGTGACAGTGCTGGCCTTGGCCCGCTCTGTGTCACTGCGGGCCTTGTGTCTGCCTCTGACTGGGCGCTGTGTTCACCAGTCTGTCTGACAAGGTCGGCTGTGTGTGGGTCCGGCTGTCTGTCTCTTGTGTGCACCTGCATATCTGCTCATCTCGTCTCCCTCAGTGCCTGTGTCTGACGCGTTCCTGTCATTATCCCTGTCTACATGACTCCACGGGGCTGTTTCTGTCTGTGTGTCTGCCTGGCTCCTGTCTCGGTCTTTTGTCTGGGTCTGCCTCTGTATCACTGGGGTGATCACGTGTGTCTCTGCACATGTCTTTCTGTGTTTGCCTGCATGTTCCTGAACAGAGTCGAAATACATTGGAACAGGCTGACCTCGCTCTGACGCCTTGCCTCACTCCCTTGAATCTGGCATCTTTCTGGATCAGTGATCCTTCTCTTTGCATCAATTATGGTTCTGTCTTCAATTAAGTTCAGTCCCATTCCTAAACATCCTTGCCTATTCTCACAGCTCCCATTAGGACAACTGCTAGCACTTAGTGAATACTTGTTACGTGTCAGACACTGTGTTAAACATTTTACAAATTAACTTAAAAACTTTTAACTTCCCCAAATTTGATCATAGTGGGTACTGTGATTACCCCATTTTGCAGATGAGGAAACTAAGGTTCTGGGAAGCTAGGTAATTTGTCCAAGTTCATCCTGCAAGTAACTGAAAGAGCTGGGCTTCTTTCCAGAGCCACATCCTTACCACTGTTCTGTACTGATCCTGTCCACCTGCTCTCCCTCGGTTTTATTCCCACTTCCTGGGAATAAAACTTGCAAATTTTTCACGTCCTCTAGATAAGGTATGGACAGGTGGCTGTACAGCAGATCTTAAAAACAGTGGGTTTCTTGACAGTGAACTCATTCATTTTAACACGTTCAGCGCAAATCCACAGAGGCACCCCAATGTACCAACTATCATGCCAAGGTGAGAAACACACAGAAGGCAACAGTCCCGCTCAAGAAATTCAGTGAGTAATACGGAAGAACAGTGCACACTCGAGGAATTTAAGTTCTTGCCTTAGAGGAGATCTCTTTCTCCTACAAAGGAAAGGGGAATGCAGCAGAGCCTGAGGCAGAGAATTGGCAGAAAGAATGGAGGAAGCAGCAGAAGAAGAGGACTTCAGTTGTGGGGAGCCAATGGGGGATAGTGCAGCAGGGAGACAATGGGACACAGAGGGGTCTGGGAGGAAACGTGATGATGCTAAGCTTGCTGTGGCGACAGTTGTAGAAATGATCTATTATGTCTCCTCACACCAGTTGGAAACAACTCTCATAAGCCAAGATACTCAACAACTTACAGGAGCAAAGCCCTCCCCTTCCAAGAAGAAATTCCTCAAGGGCATCTCATGTACACTGACTGTGCTTTCACCTTACAAACCCTGGCTTAGTTCGATCAGCAACTGATTTGCAGCAATGAGCTGGTGGGGTAGAAGTATTCTGGTGGTACCAGAAAAGCCGGCAAAGTACAAAACTGAACCATTCAGAGGAGATAGGAACACCATAAAGCATGAGGGCTGAGCCGATTAAAACACACATGGTAGGAAGAGCTCACAGTTGCACTGGACCATTTTGAGCAGTGGACGTGATAGAGATCATATCAAGCATTTTCAAACATGGAGAGCACTCAGGGGCCAGACTTACCAGATGGAGCTTGCTGTACATTGGAACCAGCACCCCAGCAGTGGGGTATAGCAGACCTCAGTGGGGTGGACAGTGCTACCGGCCTGGCATGGTGCCTGGGGGAACCTAGAAGAAAATAAGTCAGTCAGAGGTGGTGTCTCCCAGGCTTAGAGGATTTCCTTGTGCTTCCTCCCTCCTCTCTGAAGAGAAATTTGGCTTTGGTGATCAGATGAGATGATGGGAGAACTGGTTTCCATGGTGACCAGAAAATGCCATCCCTGAAGTGGTCCTCCAACCTTCCCCTTCAGGAGGCAGCCTGGACCAGAGGGTAGGGGAGCATGCTATGGCATCTGAGTAAGTCTACAGTGGACAGCGAACCATGGCTCTTCCCACAGGACCCTCCTGGTGAGACTAGCCCCAACTTTCCCAGGCGACCTCAGTCCTGGTCCCAGGGGATGCAGACCCTCTTCCTTTACCTCAGCTGGCTTCCACCAAGAGGTCCCCACCAGCCTTACCAACACACCAGACCGTCAGCTCCACCCTCTGGACTCTGACCCCTCCCCTTCCCCTAAGCGGTGCAGGCAGGTCTTGGCGAGCAGTACAGGTGGCCAGACTAGATGAACGGGCCCAACAGGGAGGAGCCTTCCTCCTCTGCAGCAACCGTGACTATAGGCCTGAGCCTGGAAGTGGCCTCTGCTGCAAACCCCCCTGTATCTCCCCCCTCAAGGCATATCCTGTTTCCCCATCACCTCCTTCCTCTGTGTGGCCCAAGAAGGTGACAGAGGCCCACTCCCTTCCCTCCCAAGTCTCAGAGATAAAGAGGTCTTTTAAATTCAGGGCCAAGAATCCAGTGTCCATCCAGGGGCCAGTCCTCACTCAAACCTAACCTCAGACTCATCCCTCAGGGCCGTGTTTTCTATTCGCCTAAGCCGTGGTTCTCGGCCCCCCAGACCAAGCCACTGTGGCTCCCAGTCCAGTCTCTCCATTCCCTGCCCTTCAGGCCCCCATCCTTCCCCCTGCCCCAGAGACTAAGGCCTCTGGCCCCCAGCCTCCATGATGCAATATACTGCAAGCTCCTGTGGCTGCTGATGACATTGCCCCCAGGGAAGTGTTATTTGTAACCCAACCAAAGCCCCTCACCAGGACAGTGGTCAGCTGCAGGCTGGGAGAGCCCGACAGGCAAGGCCATTCTGCTGGAAAAGAGGCCTTGAGGCTGGACCCTTCCCAGACAGAGGTTCAGAACTAGAATTAGGCAACTGGGGATGTGTTTGTGTAGCCGGCCTGTTTGTGTTGTGGTTGTAGTGAAGGAGTGCTGGGGAAGGCCTGGCCCAGAGGGGAGTCAGCCCCCCTTAGGGTGGGCCAAGAGAAGTCAGGGGGCAGCCAAGGGGGTGTGGTAGGTGAGGGGGTGTCTGGATACCAGTGGGGGAGGAGCCAACAGCCATTTAAAAGGCCAACGACAGAACTCTAACCCTCTCCAGCGCTGGCCCCAAGCAGGAGGCTGTAATTCATCTGTCCAACAGCTGGGGTGGGTGTGTGATGGGGGGGGCATGTGGATGGGAAAGGGGAGCTGGGGGAGGGGCCAAGGCCTTCTTATGCACAGAGCCAAACAACAAAAGAGGAACTGAAGGGCCAGCTCCCAAGGGCCCAGGCCATGCTGCTGACCTGCAAGTGGCCCCCACCTGGTCAACAAGACTGTAGTTTTCACTCAGAATTTCTTGGCCGAGAAGTCAATGGACCCAAAGGTAGAGTCCCAGAGAAAGCCCACTCGGAGCACCCCCAGGCGTGCTGTCACTGCCCTGGCACCTCCCCGGCTGCAGCACAGACCCAGAGCCGGCAGGCCCTCCACAGCCGCAGCCTCTGATGCCCTGCTCAGCAGACAAACCTCCTCAGTCAGAGCCTGCCGGCTCCCCGCCCTCCTGCTCAAAGTGGCAGTGGCCACACCAAGGCTGTCCCTTTAAATCATTACCTCCTCAGATGGTGTGGAGGAACTGAGGGCCCTGCCCCCCAGGCAGGCAGCGTGCCACCTCCCCCACCATGAGTCCCCAGAAATGTGAGGGACGTTTAAAGGGACAACAGAGCGGCCGCTAGGTCTCTAACCAACCCCCCCACCCCGATCTCACACACTCTCACATCCCCTTTCCCCAGGAACACACGGCCCCCTGTCCCTCCAGATGGCCCCCCAAATTCCGGTCTATCCACACCCCTAGGGACTGCTAAACGGAGAAAGGGGGCTAGCGGTGGGGCAGAGGGGACCTGGGGAGGGGGGTGGCACAGGGACTACGTCCTCCCTCAGAGCCCCAAGGGACAAGTCAGAAGGGAAGGAAGAGCCCAGAAAGCGGCGAGACAGAGCCCCAAAGGTGCCTCGGGCAGACCTGGGGCGCACAGGCTGTGGGGCGACGGGAAGAGTCAGGCTGCACGAGACGGCGGTGGCGCGGCCAGCGGGCGACAAGCCCAAGTGGGGGAGCGGAACAAGGAGGACTCGGAAAGAGGCAAGACCGAGAAAATCGGGGAGACGGAAAGGGGGAAGGGGGTCACCCGGGAGGGTGTGAAGGAAAATCACAGAGGGGAGGGCGAGCCAGGCTGGGGTTACCTGCTGGGTGTCTGTCCCCCGGCGGTGCCCCCACAGTCCGGGGAGGGAGGGGGAAGCGGCGGGGAGGGGGGAGTGGGGGCTGGGGGGCGGGGGAGACGGTCCCTCCTCTGCCTCCTGGGCCTGCCCCGACGCCTGCAGCCTCGGCCTCCCTCCCTCCTCCTCCCCGTCCCTGAGTCCCGGAGTCAAACAAAGAACTGTAGCAGGCTCTCCCCAACCCCCTCCCTCCTCCTCCTCCTCCTCCTCCTCCTCCTCCTCCTCCTCCTCCTCCTCCACCACCACCTCCTCCCCTCTCTCCCTCCCCACCAGCAGGCTCCCTCCTCCTCCCTTCCGGTCTCTTCCTTTAACTACCTGCCCCCCCAGCCCCCCACACTAGTCTCTCTCCACCCACCCACCCCAACCTTTTACACACCCCTCAGCCTAGCCCTGTTCCAACTAGGGAAACTGTGGAGTCCCTTTGCAAAAGGAAGGGTCTGGAGAACAACATGGGAGTGGACTGGGGTCTTGCTTCAAAATCAGAAACCACAGCACAATTATTTTTTCTCTGCCAAAGGGATACTCTTAGCTATTTCTTCTAGAAGAGATGAAAACCGGTCCTAAAGAAAGCAATACAAATCTGACTAAAGCCTTTATCAAATAAAGTGCACAGAGCAGTCAAGCTACCCCTAGTGTGTCCCCCACCCCAATTAACATGAACTCCCCACACCTCCCTAACCAACTCTTAAGGTCATGGCTACTCTGGAGCGGGCCCACCAACAGTAAGGAAAACAAGAAATATTTCATAACGAGCATTGACTTGGTGTTCACACCACGCTAAGCACTTTACTAAGTGCTCTGCGTAAATTATTTCATTTTTTCTCTATCTTCCTTGAAAGCTGATGATATTTAAATTTCCTAGATTAAGAATATGATGCTGTGAGAGACTATGACCTGTCTAAATCCTAAAAGCCACTAAGTGCCAGAGCTGACATTAGAGTCTAGTCTGACTTGACATCCCAAACTCTTAAGGCTGGGAAAGCAGCTGCTTTTTTTAGTCCCATAATCAACCCCTCAACAGCCTTGATAAAGAAGGGCAGTTAGCACTATCAGATAAACCTTTCCCGAAATGGGATGCCACACAGATCCCTCCACCTGCACAAATGAAGACCCTGACTTTTTTTTAACTAATGCAGTACTGTTTCTTGACACTTTTCCTTAGTTTGGGGGCCAGAGTAGGCCTTCAGTTTAAGGGATCTCAGGGATAGGCTGGTGTGTTCCCCTGACAGACAGCTGCCCTGGGGGCAGCTGTCTCGCAAATACTACTTCAAGCTCTAGAGCGGAACACGCAGGCTGTGCAGCAGGTGGAAAAGTAAGACTTATGGGAGACTCTTTCCAGGATGAACGGGCCTTGGAGGGAAAGCTCTTCTGTGACAATCTAGAGCTCTCAGAGCAGCAAAGGGACAGTCTTTCAGCAACACCACACCCGTGCCCCTCCCCCTCACGAAATCCAGGCCAGGGTTTCCCACCTGCAGGATGCTAAAGCCAAGGGAAAGGCGAAGAGAAAGAGATGGTACGGGACTGGAACTGGACTCGGGTTAGAGATCGCAGGGAATGGAAAGCCGAGGAGGCCTCATTGCCTGGCAACCATCCCGGGGCACGTGCACCGGTGACATCATCCTAGGCCACCTCTAACACAGACCTTTGACCCCGATGGGCACGGAAGGGCCCGCCGACTGCTTCCTGGGAAATAGCCTAGGGATTCTGGGAACGTAAAAAGCAGACGGAGTGAACCCAAGTGTCCAGTCATGATCTCTTTTAGCAGTATCTAGGGGACCTCGGCCCCCGCCTGCCTCCTGCTGCGGCCTCAAATCTTGACCTCCCAACCTATATTTCTGACTGGAGTCAGGACACGCCCCGCAGAGGCACTGTGCCATCTCTCTCGCGGACGAGACCACTGGTGGGGCGAGGGCTGGAGCACAGGGTACCGGGTCCTGCGGGACACGGTCCTATCCTCGAGATGCCTAGTGCCCCCGCTGGCCGCCAGTCGGAATCTCTCCGGGTCCCCAACACTCCCGCCCCTCCCGCGCTGTTTCGGGGCGGAGTCTGCGGAGTTGAAATCAGGACACGGCGAGAGGAAGAGTTATATAACCCTGAGCCGCGGAGAAGGGCGAGCGGAGAGGACGGACAGCCCGGAGGGAGCCAAGGGAGGCGCAGAGAACTCTAGGGCGGTTGAAGAAGAAACGTTAGGGACGGAGAGGGCTTTAGTGTACATCAAAGAGCAGCATTTCAAGCGAAGAGTTGGCGTGAGGGCCCAGAAAGTCACCGGGCCGCCGGGGCTTCCCCGC